TACTCCTTACCCAGTTCCAATGGTAGAATGGGAATATCTACACCTACTATGGAGAGACGATGTGTGTATACACTGGACACTCAGAGCAAACCCTTCTTTATCTCTTTTTTTTTTTTTTTTTAAAACAGTTCCGCTCTTGTTGCCCAGACTGGAGTGCAATGACGCGATCTCGGCTCGCCGCAACCTCCGCCTCCCGGGTTCCAGTGATTCTCCTGACTCAACCTTCCGAGTAGCTAGGATTATAGGCATGTGCCACCACGCCCGGCTGATTTTTTATTTTTAGTAGAGACGGGGTTGCTCCATGTTGGTCAGACTGGTCTCGAACTCCCGACCTCAGGTGCTCCGCCCACCTCAGCCTCCCAAAGTGCTGGGATTACAGGCGTGAGCCGCCGCGCCCGGACCCTTTCCCAGCAGCTCCCTCAAAAATAAAACGTGCCAGTTCCCAAAATCCGCCCAAGAAAGCTGTGGCTCAGAGAAGGAGTCACTAGCCCAAGGTGACAGTGAGTCTGGGCTTAGGACACAGAACTCCTGGCTTCATGTCCAGGGAACTTTCTTCAAGCCTCTAAGGCTCATTCATTCTCTCCAACAGAGTTTGGCATATACTATGCCCTAGAGCGGAGGTGTGCAAGACAGGTGCTGCTGTCCCCGTGTATAGGTTAAGGAACAGTCAGTTTAACTGAATCTCAGGGAAGCCAAGTGACTAAGCACCGGGACACAAAACCAGAAGGTAGATGTCTCGAATTTGCACTCGGATCAAACGCCAGGGCAACGCCCGGAAGCCTCAGGGCGCGCGTGGCCGGGCGCGAGCTCGGCGCGTAGCGGTGGGAATCCCGAGCGGAGTTGGAAGCCGGGCCCGTTCATTTGCATGCTAATACCCAGAATGCTTTTCCCCCGCACACCGCTTCTCTTAATGGAAGCGCTCAGTTTGGAACCGTGGAAAGTTTGGAACACATACTTCGCTCCCTCTTTGCAACTGTGGGAACTTCCCGCCCGCACACGCGGCGCCTGCTGCCTGGGGCTCTGCGCCAGGCGGCCGCCAGCGCTTCCTGGGAAGGCAAACCTTGGTGTACAACTCTAGCGCGGTAGCATCCCCGGGCGGGCCGGGGACAAAGCGCCGAGGCCTGGCGGCAGGGCCCATAACCAGAACACCCGGCGTCTCACAGGGCTGCGGGCGCTGGGGATGCTCCCGGCTTGGAGAGGCCCGAGAGTGTCCCCGACTCCTCCGGCACCCCCACTTCCCCGAGAACTGCTGGGGCTTCCGGGGGTCCCTGCCCCGTCCATCGCCCTCATATTGTCGCCTCCCGGAGCTGGTGACTTCACGCTCCCCGGGGACAAAGCTCGGCGTGCTGGGTTTGGGGGAGAAGCTGGACGCTGGCTTCATCTCCCCAGCTCTTCCGGGCGCGCAGCCCATCAGTTCGGTCCATGTACCGGGTGCAGAAGGAGCTCCGGAGGTTCGGCCTGTCTCCGGCCAGGACCCCGGGCCCTCTCTGGTGTTTGAAGCAGGGAGGCGGTCGCAGGCGACTTCTGGGGATTTCGCGCATGAAAGCGGGGCTCCGAAGGGTGGACGACGCCCGCTCGACCTGCGAGTGCGCATCGCAGGCTGGGGGGCCCGGATCCGCACCCCTCAGTTCCTGCCCCCCC